GGAAAATCATTGTGTACTGAACGTGCTGTGCCCATATCTTTATTCTTGATGTCCCTGCAGCAGCTTGTATATAATGAAAAAGAAGAATCATTCCATAAAAATGAACACACAAGATACACAAGGTGCATTGGAAACGCAAAAGAGAAACACACAGCTGCACATAAAACGTGCAATGAAATTACAATGAAACACACACACAAGGGAAAAACAGTAGAATGAAAACAAAAAGAAAAGAAAGCCGTGATCACCATGTGAATATGTTCAGGAGGCAAGAACACAATTCCCAGCAGTAGGTGTGTGTGTGTCTTTCGTACAGGGCGAGCAATGGGAATGAAGCACACATGATGACAGTCCACACACACAGACACAAAGAGAAGGAAGGTCGGTAGTGTGCGTGTTTGTGTGTCTTGAACCTCCTGCCGTTCTTCACATTTCACTCACAGCAATTAAAACACATCGGGTTTGTATCTCATTCCCATGGGTAAAAGCAATAGTTAGTAATATCACGGAACACACACATTACTAGTGAGACACAGTAAACGGCGGCAAAACAGAGCCCAGATAATAATGCCATCAAACAAAGAGGACACTCCCATCACAAAATGATGGTTTGTCATGTGATGAGTGCCTTAGGGAGCCCAATAGATTTGCTCAGCAAAACAATGCAATTAAGAGATTTATCGAACTGAAAAAGAAAAAAAAAAGAAACATTAAAATTCAATAAAAAGAACAGTGCCATCACAATGCATCCATGTCCAGTCAAACAAAGGTTAACTGTGCAACTGTGTCATGGGAACACCGATCAGCACATGAGAGTGTAGCCCAGTCCAGTCAGTAAAACAAGAAGCAGCATGGAACTGTGCACCAATGCAGGACCGTTGCCACCATCCTTCTTTTTCTTGGCCTTTTCCCTTGCCAGTTCCGCTTCTTTCTTGGCCTTCTCTGCTACCTCTCTCGCTGCATTTTCCCTGACCTTCTCTCCTGCCAGTCTTGCATCTACTTCTCTGTCCCTTTCCACTGCCTCTCTCGCCTCTTCTTCCCTGGCCTTCTGTGCTGCCTCTTGCCTCCTCTTTTCCTCCTCATCCCTCTTCCGCTTGGCCTCTTCCGCAGCTTTTCTTGCTTCTTCTGCAGCTTTTCGTGCTCTTTCTTCGGCAATCTCTTTCTTTTCCTCCACAATGCGCTCGCCCACGGCTTTAGTTGCCACATCCACTCTTCTGTTGACCTCTTCGACGATCTTTTTCTTCTTGACCACTGTACCTTCATTCTTTTTGTCCGTGGAATTATCAATTATTGTTTTGGGTGCCGTGATATCATTTTGTATTTCGTCTAGAACCTTATTGGCTTTAACCTCGAATTCTGTTTCCACGCGACCATCCCCCACCTGAGTTACTACCAATCTCTCCATGGCCGCAAGGTCTGTGTACGCCTTTTTCCAAACCTCTACTTGCGCCTTGGCTTTACCCACCGAAAATCTGTCATGAACTGTGGCGTTGCCAATCAGATTCGTGACGTATTTTAATGTGCCGTGTACCTTCTCGACCGCACTTTTCACCTTAACTGCCTTATCACAACTTTCATATTCTCCCTTATAAGTAGTGATACCCTCCAATCTCTGTTTTAGATCGCCCATAACATACTCCACGTCATGCCGTATGGACAAACAGATGCGCTCCGCATGATCCGCCTCCACGATTTTAAACACCGTGTCCGCATTTGGTGCCCTGTCCTTTGTCCCCTTCAGAAGGTCTCGTATCTCCACAAACACATCATTGAGCTCCTTCGCTTTAGTGTTTTTCGTGTCACTTTTAACTGTCTTTGCTTCCTCTTTTATCTTCTTGGCCCTCGCAACAAGTACGCCAATCTTCTCGGTGGCTTCTTTGGCTTCCCTAAACGCTTTCTCATTTGCCGCAACCACCTTATCCCACTCGGATATACAAGCCGTTCCCCTCTTAAAAAGATCCTCTGACTTACTGAGGTCTCTTAACGCGATTCTTACTGCAATCTTCAAGTCGAGTTTACCCATCAAAACCTCGTCTCTTTCGAGATCATCATCGGTGTATTTGGGGATATCCAAAAACGACCCCAATGCCGTCTGCCGATCCTTCACCTCCACCTCAATACTATTGTTTACAACCGTTGTTGCAACCTCCTTTGCAGACCTCCTCACCTCTTGAGCGCGAACCAAATCAGAAAAACATTGCATAAGTACAAACAGGTACACCACACCACGCAGTTGGACGGAAATCGTTGTCATGATTGCCACTGTGGGTTGCTTGGATCTATGGTAACAAGGAAGAAGAGGAAAAGGAGAAAAGTAGACACACATTTAACACACAAGGCAGACAGTACACATCAACACAGAAAGAGAGAGAGAGAGAGAGAACACATCACAACAACAATCAAACACAACCCAATGAGGGGAACACAACAGTAAACCACTCACACAATAAAACACACCCAGTGTTACATACAGATATTGAAACAACACCTTGAATTTAGAAGAAGTGGAAAACAAATGGTATCAAAACAATATTAAATAAACGTCTCTACACACACTCCAATATCTTACTCGGTATTCATACACACAAAATGTGTCTGTATTCCCATTATAATAAAACCATT